GAGTCAATCTATATACCAGCCCGAATAATAGTGAGTCAATCTATATACCAGCCCAAGTAAGACTGAGTCAATCTATATACCAGCCCGAATAATACTGAGTCAATCTATATACCAGCCCAAGTAAGACTGAGTCAATCTATATACCAGCCCGAGTCAATCTATATAACAGCCCAAGTAAGACTGAGTCAATCTATATACCAGCCTAAGTAAGCCTGAGTCAATCTATATAACAGCCTGAGTCAATCTATATACCAGCCCAAGTAAGACCGAGTCAATCTATATACCAGCCCGAGTCAATCTATATAACAGCCTGAGTCTATCTATGTACCAGCCTGAATAATACTGAGTCAATCTATATACCAGCCTAAGTAAGCCTGAGTCAATCTATATAGGGGGTCCCGTTCTTTATAAACAAGCCCCCAGTGGCACAGTCTGTGGACTTATACTGCTAGAGACCAGGTTTCGATATCCGTGGTGGGCAGAGCACAGATAACCCTTTGTGCTTAATAACAAACAAATTTATAAAGAATTTCTTACGGACTAAATATGGAATGATTTCCTGGGCAGTAAAACTTAATTGATTTATTGTCTCTCTTAAGTAAAGATTTAAAAGTTGATTAAAATTAAAAGTTGAACTGTCAATTTATCATACCAGTTTAAACCTAATGAAAGGGTAGTTAAAATGGTATGTTTTGAATATTGTTCATTGTGACAATTAATAGTGCTATACACAAAAGCTGAAGCTTCAAACTTTATGGAACTTAACAACTAGTAGGAATGATGTCACCATGATTATCTGTTGAAATAACTAATGAATCATACATCACAGTAATAGTAGTAATAGCAATAAAGTTATGGGGAACCACTTGTGACCCAAAGTATCTGGGATATTACAGGTAAGTAAAATGCCTCAAATATATCTAATTGTTCGTATTTCTTTAGTAAATAGTTCCAGATATTTATTAGTACATGAAGAAATAGTGTCATATGTCTGTTTTGTTCTCTGAAAGGTATAAAAAGAAATGATCATAACTATTTGAAAATATGTATAGTTTATTTATTATTGGGCTCAATGAGAGCAATATTGAATTTCCCAAGAAGAGGACCCATTGTATTTACCCTCTTGCCACAGGCATCTTATTCTGCATGCGTCATGAGGTTGTAGTGAGTTACATTCAAAATTTTAATACATTACTTTGTTATCATGATATACGAATAAATATGGCATAAAAATGCAACTAATAAATCAGATTTTAATAACTTGTAAGTTTTAAATTTTTAAATTTATAAGGCAATATTTAAAAAAATTCCAAATTTCTCCTAGTATAAGAATTGTGAACATTTTCTATTTAGGCACTCCCCTCTTCTCTAATTTATTTACATCCCCTCCAATAAATATGAAATGTCATGTAAATTACTTATATTTACATTATAATTGTTTTACTTCAGGAAGATAAGAATATAGGATATAGGTTCAGTATTAAAGGTCTATTCTCTTATTGTATTAGAATATTTGTTAATTTTCCTCTAGAAACACATGGAGGAAGGAGTGCACCTTTCACCAGGTAACACAGAAATAAACGATACCCTCCATAGTCCGGGTAAATCTCCGGGCAGTGGTACAGCTGAAAGCACATGTTTTGTGTGCTGTATGAGGTTTTCCACAGTGGACATGTGTCACGAACATCAGAAACATGTACACATGCGTTGGGTTGACCGACAACTTCCAGATCATTCGCACGAAGAATTGTCAGGTATATATATATCTCTCTCTGCCTAATGTGTGTTTACCTTTCTTATAGAATAGCGGCAGTGTGAAGCTTACTGAACTTCCTGTAATTGGATAGTTGTGAGAAGATGAATTTAAAATTCTCCATAAACTTTCAGTTTCTGAAAATATAAAAGTTTGTGAATGAAAACTGTTGACTCGGTCTTACTCTGGCTGTGCTGAAAAGGATGTTAAGGTATCTTGTATTTTATTTATTAATCAAACCATATTTTACAAACAAGACTGTAGAGACTTTGTCTCAAGTGACAAGTTGTGCTGAAGAGGATGTTAAGGTATCTTGCATTTTATTTATTAATCAAACCATATTTTACAAACAAGACTGTAGAGGTGAATAAGTTTTGTTTGTGGATAAAACATCAAACTGTTGGACTAAACCACAGCAAAATCTTGACATTGATTTGACTAGGGAATATGAATAAGCTTCCATAGAATGAGATCACAAGGTTTCTAGCTCTTTGTTGTGTAATATTTCAGCAGTAGACTGAGAAAATGTATACAAATAAGGAATTGTGTGGGAAAACTGGATATGTTTTACATTCTTAATGCACATAACAATATGAAACTGGTCTCAGTAACAGTAAGGGTGAATCCTTACTTGGTTTCTATGGTAATGTATGTTAACCAGCCAGTCAAGGAGGGGTGAAATAATGTTTAATAAATATTTTCTGGTTTTGGAGTTTATAGCACAGTATTTGAGAGCAAGAATGTAAACTAAAGGTGGAGAAGTAGAAGTTTACTTAGGGGACTGTGACAGAATTTGTGCTTTTTTTCATTAATGGCTTATTTTTGTTGACATTCTGTTTAAATCAGTAAATTAGGTCATTGAAAATAACCATTTAGCCTTATGTTACATTATATTTAGCAGCATTTATAATGTGGAAATACAAATAACTAACTAGTGAATATGTTGTTATTTACTATTAAGGAAGATTCCATTTTTACTGAAATCATGCGAGTTTTATACCTAGTTTGTCACGTACATTTTTTGTATACAGATATATATTTTAATTTGATTGTAAACTTGTAAGAGTAATCATGATTTGTTGGATTGGTAAAATACTTTCTTGAACACTGTATTTCTTTCATTTCCTTAGCTCCCTCTGTATGGTCATGTAGTAAATGTTACTCTCCGTGTGAGGAGGAAAATGAACTGGCTGTTCACCTTGCCCAGTGTGAAAACTCCCAAGCTGTAACGCCCACAAAAAAACCACAGACAGATCTTCTAGGTACACCTAGTGCTGCCATGGGAACAGTTTTCTATAAGTGTAACTGCTGTTCTCTGACATTTACTGCTGAAGAAGATGTTAAGGTATCTTGTATTTTATTTATTAATCAAACCATATTTTACAAACAAGACTGTAGAGACTTTGTCTCAAGTGTCAAGTTGTGCTGAAGAGGATGTTAAGGTATCTTGTATTTTATTTATTAATCAAACCATATTTTACAAACAAGACTTTGTCTCAAGTGACAAGTTGAGGCAATAAAACCTTTATATTTCAATGT